CATTGTATGTGTACGTAGTGTAAAGTACCACTTTGAGGGATCTATTGGATAATATGGTTTGGCATGGTTAGCTAATGTTAAATACCCTATTAGCTCTTTCATTGGAGGAATATTATGATTAATGTTTCTCGAAGTGATTGACTCATTACCGTATTAATGCATAGGCCACCTGTGGCCTTGGTCATACAGGGACCCCTCCGGCCTCCCAAATAAAAAATTATGGTTCGTAAAACTAGCAGAATAGAGGCAAAAGTGAGGTATTATTTTCATTATTCCCAATCATTACACGGGTCTAGGGCTCCACTGAACCTCAATCTGGCCCTGGGTTGACTTAAAGAACTAGAACAAATGTAGGATTCCTGATAAAACTTAATAAGACGTCGAAACATACAGAGTGTATGAAACTGTTCCCAGTCTCACAGTATTTTATCTTTATACAGTAAGATTGTTAGATAAAACCGTTTTTATTGTATTTTGAGACTGTCCCCAGTCTCATTTTCAATTTGTTATGAACTGTTAAAAGTTGATTTTCTTTCTTTCTTTAATACGTATGTGTGAGTAAATGGGTGTGTCTACAAAACAGGAAGTCCAAAAATATTGAGTTGCATAGCAATTGGTCCCTGACTCTCTAAATTGTGACTGAGTTTGTCTAAAAAAAAGTTTGTACACAAAATGCACAAAATAAAAAATTTAATTAACACTAAACAGTCAAAAACAAAAAGAGGGTATTGAGCGATCTTTCTGGTTAATCTGCCATCATTAAATTCAAAACATTTGGTGGATCTTTGTCCTGTGTGCAGCTAGAGTAAAAAAAAGTTGAGATGTTTAGTTAAACATATCTCAGGGCTCAAAATGAACAAACAGAAAACAGAAATTAACTAAGCATATTAACTAAGAGGCGTAGCAAACAGGGGTGGAAGAAGCAACTTAAATTGGTCAGGCAACTCAGAATTGTGTGCAAAGCACGGCAATGCTAGGGGAGGGGATCTGGGGGCATGTCCCCTAGGAAATGTTTGAAAAATAAGTGCACTGAGATTGAATTTTGTGCTCATTTTAGTATAATTTATTGAAAGTATTAATTATTTGTAAACTTCTTTATAGTTCATAAAAATAGGTGTTCACTGACACAACGTGTACATGCTCGTGTTTGCTTATAGCTATAAATAGATAGACTTATAGTAGTATGTATGAATCAGTCTAACAATGCATAATACATTACACGTGTAATCTACAAAACCTAGAAACAATTTTAGAGTAAAGTTAAAGTTTAAAAAGCCCTATATTTACTGTGACAAAATGTTGATCCGGCTGCTGCTCGGTCTGCCGAACTTGCTCTGGCGCACATTATGGGGCCATGGATGCGTTATAAAAGAGACTGTCAAATCCCACTATTCTATCAGACAATAGTTGGTTTCCTATTAGTTCAAAATTAGAGACGGCTATGAGAAGACAGATCGCGTGTGGCGAAAATTCTGAAATAAACAAACAAAGGTCCACATTTTTTGTTTTTATGTTCGACTTCCACGTTACTTAGCTTTATTTATTGTTTTCGTAACACTTAAGGCACAGCTTTACTAGGTTTGTATTTGAATTGAAGTTCGGACATACCGGTGAGGGACCCTCTGATTTTTTCTTTCGAAAGTGTTTTGAATGCGAAAAATGTTTTGCATTTGGCTCATTAAAGGGATTTTTTTTTTAAATAAGCACTGTTTATAAATCTGTATGTTTCCCTTTTTAATACGATGATCAAGAAAATGCTTTCATACACCTATTTCACTAAGCAAATGGAAAACGAAAACCTGATTAAACACATGAAATATATTTCAATATTGTTACACTTAATAATCGGTTATTGTAACGCACAATTCTTTAGAAATATATCTTTACGCCCATTCATTCCGAGAGCACTTTTCAGTTTTAATGTGACGATCAATCCCACTATTCGTTGGTAAAAGAGTAGCCCAAGAGTTGGCGGTGGGTGGTGATGAATAGCTGCCTTCCCTCTAGTCTTACACTGCTAAATTAGGGACGGCTAGCGCAGATAGCCCTCGTGTAGCTTTGCGCGAAATTCATAACAAACAAACTTTTCAGTTAAAAAAAAAAGACTGTGACATGCGCACTTTGACCCACCCGAATACAGAAGTTTAAATTAAGTTTAGTAGCCTGGTTTCTTCGCATCTCGGTGGGGTAAATTGTAAACTAAAAATATATAAGACAAGTAACAGCGGTGTACTGGAGTTACGAGCGCTGTCAGCTGTCATTGACCTAGCTAGACTAATGAGAACTAACATTACTCAAAATGGTAGTTCGCCGCTGGTCAGAGTACAGGTTTTTTGTTAATGTGAACATACACATGTGTATACCATAGCCAGACGAGCTCTTCCCTTTTAATCAGCCTAGCTAGGTCGATGACAGATGACGTTGCTCGAAACTCGAGTTCTCAGTTGTTACCTAACGTGAAGTACTGTTACACTTATGTTTCAGTTTTTACTTTAGCTCTTCGATACGTTGTTTTTCGAATAGTTCGAGCACGGGAAATACTGCAATAAAAGAGCCGAAAAAGGAGCCAGCTGGGCATCATATATGTGTACCAGTGCAAGCCTTGAAAAAAAAACATTATGTGTACCTACATATTTGTTGGGAAATCTTTCCACACCTCATGCGGCATATATTTCTCAGACTTCACGTGCGTATTCGTCATTCTCCACGCGGTCGGTCAGGAAAGGCATTAAACGTCATTTTCGGCTTCACGTAGACAAAACTGAAACGGCAGGTGAGTTCCTCTACCAAATTTCATCGCAACTGATTCAGCCATTTTTTCACAGCAACTTGTGATATCAAGACACCATACAGGCATTCTGCTTTATATATACACGTATGAGTCGAACCCGGGTCCCTTATGTTTCATACTTCAATATTTCAATTGTATAAAGGTTTATTATTTCTCAAACATCAAGGGATTTTAGGCTGGAGTAACAGTTTCAAGTACTGTTGACCACCAGCGGCACAGCGGTAAGTCTTCGAACTTATAACGCTGGAAACTAGGTTTAGATGCCCCTGGTGGGCACAGCATAGATAGCCCATTGTG